GTTTGTTATAAAATATTTGTTACTGTTGTGTTTAGTACAAAATATTTGTTGCTATTTGTTGGTTATAAAATATTTGTTACTGTTTTGTTTAGTACAAAATATTCGTTGCTATTTGTTATAAAATATTTGTTACTGTTTTGTTTAGTACAAAATATTTGCTACTATTTGTTTGTTATAAAATACTATTACTGTTTTGTTTAGTAGAAAATATTTGTTGCTATTTGTTTGTTATAAAATATTTGTTACTGTTGTGTTTAGTACAAAATATTTGTTGCTATTTGTTGGTTATAAAATATTTGTTACTGTTTTGTTTAGTACAAAATATTCGTTGCTATTTGTTATAAAATATTTGTTACTGTTTTGTTTAGTACAAAATATTCGTTGCTATTTGTTATAAAATATTTGTTACTGTTTTGTTTAGTACAAAATATTTGTTGCTATTTGTTTGTTATAAAATATTTGTTATTGTTGTGTTTAGTACAAAATATTTGTTGCTATTTGTTGGTTATAAAATATTTGTTACTGTTTTGTTTAGTACAAAATATTCGTTGCTATTTGTTATAAAATATTTGTTACTGTTGTGTTTAGTACAAAATATTTGTTGCTATTTGTTTGTTATAAAATATTTGTTACTGTTTTGTTTAGTACAAAATATTTGTTGCTATTTGTTTGTTATAAAATATTTGTTACTGTTGTGTTTAGTACAAAATATTTGTTGCTATTTGTTGGTTATAAAATATTTGTTACTGTTTTGTTTAGTACAAAATATTCGTTGCTATTTGTTATAAAATATTTGTTACTGTTTTGTTTAGTACAAAATATTTGTTGCTATTTGTTTGTTATAAAATATTTGTTACTGTTGTGTTTAGTACAAAATATTTGTTGCTATTTGTTGGTTATAAAATATTTGTTACTGTTTTGTTTAGTACAAAATATTCGTTGCTATTTGTTATAAAATATTTGTTACTGTTTTGTTTAGTACAAAATATTTGTTGCTATTTGTTTGTTATAAAATATTTGTTATTGTTGTGTTTAGTACAAAATATTTGTTGCTATTTGTTGGTTATAAAATATTTGTTACTGTTTTGTTTAGTACAAAATATTCGTTGCTATTTGTTATAAAATATTTGTTACTGTTGTGTTTAGTACAAAATATTTGTTGCTATTTGTTTGTTATAAAATATTTGTTACTGTTTTGTTTAGTACAAAATATTTGTTGCTATTTGTTTGTTATAAAATATTTGTTATTGTTGTTTAGTACAAATATTTGTTGCTATTTGTTGGTTATAAAATATTTGTTACTGTTTTGTTTAGTACAAAATATTCGTTGCTATTTGTTATAAAATATTTGTTACTGTTGTGTTTAGTACAAAATATTTGTTGCTATTTGTTTGTTATAAAATATTTGTTACTGTTTTGTTTAGTACAAAATATTTGTTGCTATTTGTTTGTTATAAAATATTTGTTACTGTTGTGTTTAGTACAAAATATTTGTTGCTATTTGTTGGTTATAAAATATTTGTTACTGTTTTGTTTAGTACAAAATATTCGTTGCTATTTGTTATAAAATATTTGTTACTGTTTTGTTTAGTACAAAATATTTGTTGCTATTTGTTTGTTATAAAATATTTGTTACTGTTGTGTTTAGTACAAAATATTTGTTGCTATTTGTTGGTTATAAAATATTTGTTACTGTTTTGTTTAGTACAAAATATTCGTTGCTATTTGTTATAAAATATTTGTTACTGTTTTGTTTAGTACAAAATATTTGTTGCTATTTGTTTGTTATAAAATATTTGTTATTGTTGTGTTTAGTACAAAATATTAGTTGCTATTTGTTGGTTATAAAATATTTGTTACTGTTTTGTTTAGTACAAAATATTCGTTGCTATTTGTTATAAAATATTTGTTACTGTTGTGTTTAGTACAAAATATTTGTTGCTATTTGTTTGTTATAAAATATTTGTTACTGTTTTGTTTAGTACAAAATATTTGTTGCTATTTGTTTGTTATAAAATATTTGTTACTGTTTTGTTTAGTACAAAATATTCATTGCTATTTGTTATAAAATATTTGTTACTGTTGTGTTTAGTACAAAATATTTGTTGCTATTTGTTTGTTATAAAATATTTGTTACTGTTTTGTTTAGTACAAAATATTTGTTGCTATTTGTTTGTTATAAAATATTTGTTACTGTTGTGTTTAGTACAAAATATTTGTTGCTATTTGTTTGTTATAAAATATTTGTTACTGTTTTGTTTAGTACAAAATATTTGTTGCTATTTATTTATTATAAAATACATTGTTACTGTTCTGTTTAGTATAAAATATTTGTTGCTACTTTGTTTATTGTAAAATATTAATTTTAAATAATAAATACAATGAAATATGAGTAAATCTTTCTTTTTAGAGAAAAATCAATTATTTCCGCATAAATTAAAAGCATTGCAAAAAGTGCTGATTCATATCGCATAGGTACATTACCGTATGTTACCGCAACCTAACAATGTTATATAACAAGTTAACTAACAGGGTAGGAAATAGTTATCTCCAGGTAATAAAATTTCTTAGGGACGGTGAGGTTGACGTTATATAACTAGGTAACATTTTTTATATAACCGCAACCTAACGGCAATATAAAATTGTTTACAGGGTTACTATAAATAAATATTGTAACATTGTCTAATATTTATAAAAATTATATAAACTAAATTGCCAAGTTGAAATTATTTGTTAAAAGTATATTACAACTTTAGTCAGAATTAAAAATAAAATCTGAATTATTTTCTATATACATTTTTTTTTCCAAAATCAATTATTTTGTTAAAACAAGCAGAAAGTTCTTTGAATCATTCAAATCGGACGCTTAGTTCTCTCAAAAACTGCAATTTTTTGCACATTTAGCTCTGTATCTCCGAAACCGTTGGTTCTGCCTTTGCCAAAAACTAATCACCACTTCTCTCTGTCATTACGAATTTAATGTCTTTTGGATCATTCAAATCCGATGCTTCGATCTCTCAAAAAATCGATTTCTATTTTCTGCATTCTTTGCTCCGTATCTCCGAAATGGCTGGACCTGCCTTTGCCAAAAACTAATCAGCACATCTCCTTATCAATAGGAATCGAATGTTTTTTGAACCATTCAAATCGGTTGATCCATGCGCCCGAATACGTGGACGAAAAATTGTATCCATACATACATAGACACACACACACATCCATGTTTTCTGAGGTATGCCAAATGTTAAGTTAAATTTTTAATTTCAATTTTTGGACGATTACAATAACTTACCCTATGGGAAGTTAATACGCATATTTCGTATAATCAGTAGCTACCTACCAAACACTAAACCTACACATAGATTCTGATTCGAATCTAGGCCAAAATGCAACGAAGTTGTAAATCTTGATTTTTCATAATTCAACCACTTATCGTAGGCCTATAATATTTTAATGTTTATTCTCAAATATATAGTTTCATCAAAATCGTTACTAAACTATTTTTCAACATTTAATTACGACCGATCTTCGCTAATAACTAATCAAAGCATTTTGAATTTTTAAAATTGATTTAGAATTGTGGGCTAAAACGTGGACGATTTTTTTTTCACTTTTCTGCTATTCACAAAGAAACCGCTCGGCCGATCGTCGCGCAAAACTGACAAACAATATTCCTCATCGAGATACATCGAACGGCTTTTAAATTTTTGTAATCAGTCCAGCCGTTCTTGAGAAAACGTCGGCGAAAGATCAAAAATATGTTTACACACGCTCACGTACTTTTTCGAAATTTAGTCTCATTCGATATAGAACGGCTTGAAACGTCGAGAAAACATAAAATTAGGATATCGGATTTTTTAAATGAAAACAAACTTTTCCTTCGGGAAGTTAAAAATATAGTAAAAAATTCTTTGCGTTATTTTACAATATTTCAAAATAACTTAAGGCAAAACGCCACCTATTTTACAATAAAAATATAGTAAAAAAATCTTTGCGTTATTTCACAATCTTTCAAAATAACTTAAGGCAAAACGCCACCTACACCTAGTTTCATAAGGCATTTGTGGTACAATTGTTAACTTCCCGTAGGGCAAGTTATAGTAATCGCAAAAAAAAAAAAAATGAAAATCCTTATATAAATTTGTTTCAAACATTTTGGCATACCTTAGAAAAAATGGATGTATGTGTGTGTGTGTATGTGTGTATGTGTGTGTGTATGTGTGTGTGTATGTTTGTGTGTGCGTGTGTGTGCGTGTGTGCGGATACAAATTTTCGTCGACGATTTCGGGAACACCGATCAACCGATTTGAATAATTCAAAAAACATTCGATTCTTATTGATAAGGTGACGTGCTGATTAGTTTTTAGCGAAGGCCAGTCTAGGCGTTCCGAAGATACGGGGCAAAAAGTGCTAAAAATGCTAACTCAATTTCTAAGAGAACGCAGCGTCCGATTTTAATAATTCAAAAAACATTTTACTTGTATTAACAAGATGAAGAATTGATCAAATTTTCATGAAGGGAGGCCTAGCGGTTTCGGAGATCTAGTGAAAAAAGTAAAAAAAATGCCATTTGGCAGTCAAAAATGAACATTAGACATATGCACATCAAATTATCAGATATTTTATAGAGATTTTAAGAATAAGTATATTTTTTTTACATTTCTATGGGTTCCGTACCAATGCTTATCCGTTAGACGGCGGCGCGGCTCTTACGCGCTTTGACATTTCGTCTCTATGCAGTTCAAGCAGTACGATTGCTTTGAAAAAAAGTTCAGAATTTCCAAAATATGTGAAAATAAAGAAAACATTTTTTTTTTCAAAAAAAGTAATTTTTTGTCAAATTTATAGTTTCTCAAAAATCTAATTTTTTCGAAAAATCTAATTTTTTCAAAAATGTTAATCGTTTTTAAAAAAATAATTTTTGGTACGGGAAGTTTTAGCAATTTGCCTTAAGGCACGATGCCATGCGCCCCACTAGTTTCATCTATCTTTTATCTCACCTTAACAGATTGATTATCTGTTCATCAGCCTGATCAATATTGATATCAACAGGCAGGTCTAAAAGAGGACTATCAACATAAAGTGTGTCGATGATTTTGGTATTTCCTAGATGCACTATATATGGATTTGTTAAAACACTTGGAGACATCAATGCACTATCCATGTACAAGCAGTCAGTACCAACAACTGAAAAAAATTATTTCAATTAAGATTAAGCTAAGACATAAAATTTAAAACAACAACATTAGGGGACCGATTCTGCCGCGCAACAAAAAATGTTATGGCAAGGCCATGTTACGTTCCAACTTCCATACATTATGCTACTGAATCATACTGAATATTGTCAAAATGTCATGTATTTGGTGTGCATTGAGGCGTTTTACACAAACTGCAACGTCACTCGTATGTTATGAAGCTGGATCAGAAAGACCCTGTTATTTAAGATCATTTTTTGACATTTGTGCGGTTTCTAGGTTATGTTTTCTATCTAAAACCTGAGAAATACTCCTGACTGCACAGCAACCACATGGCTTTTGTCAATATTTAGTATGGAAATTTATTCATATCATAATCTTGCCATAACGTTGCTCTGTTATGCGACAGAATCGGTCCCTAAATTACTTACAAGAAAAGTGGTAAATAATTTTGCCTGTTAATGTATCAGGATCTATCGCAGTCACTGTGAACACAAAATCACCAATGGATATTTTTTTTGGTTCGCCAAATTTTAAAACCTTTAATAAATGATGTTTCACCTGGAAATAGAAATAAATGTAATATATAGATTTCCAAACTATAAGGTTGTTGGAAAGTCACTTTGTTTTTTTACTACAGAGGATTTGACTATATTTTTTTGATCCTACACACACACTTACTTAAGCCCTATAATTATTATGGGATTTGAAAGCGTATACTTTAAGATTTGTGTGTAAAAAATTGTAATCAATTACACGCAGTAGTTTTTGGATGGTACCGCTTTGAACACGGAAAGAATTAAGCAGCATTTTCTACATATTTTAATCTTTTGCTATAGGAAGGATAAAAATACTGTTTAAGTCAACATTTACTTGACCGTTTTGCATGGAAATGATGTACTGATAGTACGGCAGTGCCAAAACTGGTTTGCTAAATTTCATTCCTGGTATTTTGATATCCAAGATTATGCTTCAATGTCGAACAAAATTAAAGTGTCATGTCTAAAGTATATCTATGTACGGATCCAGAGACATGGACTCTAAGAAAGAGAAAGAGTTTAGAAATGTGGCGCTGGAGATGAATGGAGAAGATAAAGTGGACAGACAAGATAACAAATGAAAAAGTCCTGAGAGGAGTGGGTGATAAATGGACTCTACTGAGCACAATCCTGAAAAGGAAAGGAAACTGGATCGGACCTGTTCTGCAAAAACAGTGCTTCCTACACGACGTAGTCAAAAACAAAATAGAAGGACTGAAAGACAATGGAAAGAAGAAAAATGCAGACGGTTGACGACTTACTCGAAGAGAAGAAATACAGGGAACTGAAAGCCGAAGCGTAGGATCAAGAAGCATGAAAACAGAACTTTGAAAGATGCACCATGTCCAAGAAGTACGGTTGAAGCTGATAAAGACACGAGAAAAGCATTAGTTTATGCAAAGCGGCCAATAAACAATACATGAGACCCCATTGAGTTTGAATTTGTCAAATATAACGATTCATGACTACTTAAGGAGGTATTCTAGTGTAGAGCGATGAATTTTTGGTCATTTTTAAAGTGTCGTAAAAGTATAAGTTTGGGGATGATGCTAGTTCGGGCTACAGATAGACTATCTGAATATATATGATAAACAAGACTATCTGAACATTTCAAGTGAATCCTTCGAGTAGAACTCGAGAAATCGTGTCAACAGTACTGAACAAGTCTGTTCTGAGAAAAACGCATTTAAAGTTTTGCGTGATGCTTTTTGCTGTCGAAGTCATAAAATGATATGCTATACTTCTTTTATTTAATCTGCTATTCTTCTACTTCAAAAAACCTATTTTCTGCTTCAAAAAAACTATTTCTCTCTTCCAATCGAGCAGTTCTACCCTCCTTTGAATCGCTGGAAGTACGTATTTCAGATCGTTCAATCCTAGCATTGTCTCGTCTTACAGCAAATGAATGAGTTTCTGGCCCAATTTGCATTACCATAAGGGTCATCATTTTTAAAATCGGAAAGAAACCTTCATTGAATATGCAAACAGCAATAAATGTTGCTAATTTAATTACCCGAGATCGGGAATTAATATGTTTCGGCGCGAAAATCCATATCAACGAGTTTAGAGATTCATTATTGTTCTGAGTTTCTAAACCTATACAACGAATTAATAATTAATCTGACGATAAACGGTCATAAATTGGTCTAATGAATTCCTAATGCCTTTTGTCCGATTAGACCCTGCCAAACCAGTTTGGAGACCGGGTCGGTAAAATGCCTATATATCCGAAAATAATTCAAATTTTCAGAAACCTTCTCGTACCCATATTCTTAGATAGTTAAACTTTAAAAATATGAAACAAAAAAATCGATTTTTTTGAATTTTTACACTAGAATACCCCCTCCTTAAGTCTTCTCTCCTTCAATAACTCAGGTTGTTGGGTTATACTTTAATTTCACCCTTGTAGCTGTGCACTTGATTAAATACTTATTTGTTGGTATAATTTATGTATTTGTTGCACTATTGATTTGCCATTAAGTTCTAATTGTAAAAGATATATTTGTTGATTATTTATTACACATGTTGTTATGCAGACTTTAGTTTTAGAAGTGAGAAAAATTAGTTCCATCAAACTCTACCCCCTCTACAAGAATAGCAACTTTCTGGTGTAAAAGCCTAATGCCATGAAGATTGCTGCCTTCGTGGCTAATATAATTGAATTATTAACCATGGTAAACAAGTAAACAGGTAGATACATAGCCAGATGAACAGATTGACAGGTAGACAGCTATATAGGTGAAAAGACAGACGGGTAAATAGGTAGAGAGGTAAATACCTCGACAAGAATAAATGTAGGCAGGGGGTCAGGTGGACAGGCTGACTGATAGACAGATTACTAGATAAATCATATAAATTATGTACACATACCAGGAAGTTCATACAACTTGCCGTAAGAAAAAATGCCACTTACAATCAGTTTTACTTTTACAACCTATTCATAAATATTGTATATGTAAATATATATAACAGATGGGTACATAACCAGATAAACAGATGGTCAGGTAGACCATCAATATGGGTAAATATAGATATTTATATAAACAATAATTATAATTGAGCTCCATATGGACTTCCAGTGGTTCACATCAGCAAAAAGATACTTGATGGATCCACATAATGAAAATGGGGGTCCACAATAGTCTCAACAAAACATGTTAATATATATATTACTATCATGGAACTCCTTCATTACGTGAATCCTAAAAGTTCCTTTTTGCTGAACCACTAGAAGTCCATATGGACCCCTTTAAAAATCATTTATTCAATTAAATGTTACTTACCGAAGACAATTTCGACAAGAATGTTATATTGACTATTGTTGAATAAATTGGATGTATCCATTGTTCATTAAGTTGTTTTGGAATTTCACAAGGTAATTTGCTCATAAAATAACAGCATTCTAAAACCTGAAATAAAAACAATAAGTTATAAACGAATTAATACACAGTTTATTGATTATTCGGATTTTGATAAATCATTCATTATAAATCATCAACCATCAGTCATTATAAAAATATAGTGATATTGTAGAAATAAATCGAAACTAGTTGGTATTGATATTTTGCCTTGAGGCAAGTTACATGAACTTCCTGATATATGTAAATAATCGATTTAATCAATAAAAATGAATTAGTTTATAAGTGATTAAAAGTATTCCGAGTGGATTCATTACACATAATTGAAAGCGAACAAACACGTTAACTCGGAGTATTTTCTAAATTTTCAAAAATCACTAATTTTAATATTTGAATCAGTTTCCGTAGGACTTTAATGGTTCACTTTGTTCATTAAGACTAAGTACTCTATTGCTATACCAAGTGAATCGTCTAATTTTAATTTTAACAAACGTCAAAAAACTACACATTTTCTCAAACTTTGATGAATTTTTTAAATTAAACTACTTGTTGCAAAACCGTGATATTTCAGTAAGTTCTATAAGACCATTAATATATATCGCCAAAAAAAAGTTCCATAAAAATCGACTTAATTTTTTCTGAGGTATGCCAAAATGTTCAAAAACCTTCAAAATATCGAAAAATGCAAAAATTTTCATTTTCGATTTTCGGTCCATTACTATAACTACCCTACGGGAAGTTAATAATATATTTCGAACAGTTTTTAATTTTTTAAAATCGATTCGGTAATATGACCTTAAATGTGGACGAAAATTTTAACACTTCTTAAAATTACAAAGAAATGGCTCGGCCGATCACTGCACAAAACTGAAAAAAGATAATCGACATCGAAATACATCGATTGGTTTTTAAATTTTGGAAATCGGTTCAGGCGTTTTTCAGCAAACGTCGATGAAAGATATAATTTTGACAAACTCCAAAAAAACGACACTATTTTTTGCAAACTTTGACGATTTTTTAAAATTGAACGACTTGTCGTAGGGTCCTAATACTTTAGTATGATCTGTAAGACTATGGTATCCACCGTCAAAAAAAAAATTCATGAAAATCGTCGAAAAAATTTACAACACTTTGTTACAAGAGAAGGGCCCGGCAAATCTTCACCAAAAACTAATACCGATTTGTTTTACTTTACCAATTTGTCTCGAACAGTTTTTGAATTTTCAAAATCGATTTAAAATTGCGGGCTAAAACGTGGACAAATTTTTTTTCATTTTTTTGCGATTTACAAAGAAGCGGCTAGGCCGATCGTCGCACAAAACTGAGAAACGCTAGTCCTCATCGAGATACATCGAATGACATTTGAATTTTTGAAATCGGTTCAGCCGCTTTTAAGAAAACGTCGATTTACGGCAAAAAGTCTGTTCACACACACACACATATACTTTATCCAAATTTGGTCTCATTCGATTCAGAATGGCTTGCAATGTGAGAATGTATGAGAAAACAAAATTAGCAAATTTCATTGTTTGACATTGAAAATATTTGAGACATTGTTTGGCATTGAAAGCAAATGAAAATTGTCATCTGCCAAAAATTTCAATTTACTTATGAGCCTTGACAATATTAGAATATGTATAATAAATTCATGATTATGAATAAGAAAAATAAAATGTCTACATTATTATTGCCAAAAAGCAGCTAAGATGTGCCAGAAATCAAAATAATATAAGTTACCTGCTGGTACATATACTAGTATATGTATGGCAGATTGAATGATACACATTTGAGCAGGTTTTGATAAATTAATTCACTTAAAATATGAAAAAAAGTAATAATCAGGGCCGGTACTACCTTGAACGCGGCGTATGCGAAAAATACGAGCGCACGCTTCAGGGGGCGCCAACACAATATTCGGATATGGAATTTTCTATATAGTTTTTTTTTTTCAATATAATTTCAAATTTCAATATAATTTTGGTGTGAAGAGTAATTTAAAAAACAATAATTATTATTTTTAGGTAAACTGTAAATATTAGTATAGGATATTAAAAAATTGTGGACATAGTTGCAGGACGTCTGTCGGGACATCTAGTATATATTTTATTGGGCTTTATTGGGCAACCAGGAAGAATACCAGTGAGTAACAAATGTCCATACTGCTGCTTCGTTAGTTAATGATGATAGATACCAAATCGCTGTTCAAATATATTCATCCATCCATTGCTTGCAAAAAAATTTCTTCTCTTGGTAATTACTTATATACAATTATTATTATATATTATATATTACTCATAAATTTACAAAATATTGTATTAGGAATGGTCGAAGGGTGCAGGGTTATTAGACTCGGAAGTGCCGGATTAGCAAGGTTACACTGTATCTCGCTTTTACTTACTCGAATGACTCCTTTCACTATTATAAAAACTATTTAAATCCTTATATGTGTAAAAAATGCATTAATAACAAATAGTTTCAAATATGTTAGATGGTTCTTTCATTATAGCTTTAAATTATATAATATAAAATGTCCATTGAGTCTCATTTTGATTAACATCAATTTAATTATCCTCTGAGCAGTAGTGGATATAGGATTGCTTTTATTTCGCCTGAGCTACAGATTACTTTTTCTGCCGAAGGAAAACAAACGCTTAAGCAGACTGTCAAATAGTAATTAATCATAAATAAAATTAACAGTTAGTGATAGTACTTGTTCTACCAAATTGCATAAAAAAAATCTGTCAACAGAATTGAACATTTGATAAATTTAATCAAATTATACTTTTAGACAACATGTGCTTTTAATATCTTAGAATTTTCTGTTAATTTCTTGGTTTCAGAGATTTATAGAATTTGACTCAGAAACTGAATATTCTGAGCAGAAATTCTAGAAAAACAGAATATTCTAGAAAGATTAAAGCTAAAATTACTAGTATTTCACTAGTAATTTTCAGGAAAATTTACTATTCAAAAACTGTTTTTTTAAAATGTCGGTTTTTGTATAATATAATGTTAACCACTTAACGGTCGGGTTTTTTTTCGTGAAAAGTGATCTAAAAGAGCAGGTTTTTTTATTGCGGATTTTAAAAGTTTAATTGATGTAATATGTGTTTCTGATAACATTTTCTTTTTATTTAATTTATTTTTGTTTAAATTAACAATAAAATATTATAATACCGATGACCGCTTGACGGTTTTTGGACTACCTTTATGCTCTATGTATAAACTATTGTGTTATAATATGATAAATAATACGAAATTTTTATTTAATTTTAAATTTCAACAATATCTATTTATCTAAAAATAATATAACAAATTTGTAAACAAATAAGAAAATTCAACAATATGTAATTATTAGAGCAAATATACGTGTAAAAACTCTAAAAGTTAAAAACAAAATAGATCGATTCTTGCCTAATTAGAGATAAAACACTCCAATGTAATCTTCAATTGATTCCTATCAAAAATAACACAAATATATAACAATAACATGTCCCTTGATAGATATTCAGAAAGGCGATTTTTACATGTTTATTTCTAATCTCGAAAGTCGTTAAAGATTGATTTATTATATATACAATTATTAATTGATCTGTACTTATCATATCTAAACTAAACATATCCTAACAACGGGCCATCGTAAGCTTTTTATCGCATAAAACATAAACATTAACTTTGGCGAGCAGCGCTCGGGTTAGCCCGCTAGGATACGATATCGAGGCGCGAGCAGCGTTCGTGCGTGCCCGTTAAGTGGTTAAAGAAATCAACAAGTCTAAAAGTTGACATTAGAATCGATTATGTTAATATAACAGCTTGCAAAATCAAAATTTATTTAATAGCTGTATTAATATTAAATGTCAAACTTTTATCCAAGTTAAAACAAAACGGAGAGAATTAAATTCAACAATCTGTTTACTTGACATTTCTCCCAACGGTCCACGTAAATTTTGTCATGTATTATTCTGCCATCCATTATTTAATATTCACTTAAAGAATTAAATTCTTATTTTATAAGTAATTAAAACTAAAACTAAACGTCAATAAATAAATATAATATAAAACTACATATGTTTCGAAAGACATGAGCAAACATGAAAATGTGGTATTAACCATAGATAAAAAACACAATTAGATATGCCCATGCCCATGACCATGACATCCCTGCCATAGATAAATTAATATTGGTGGATAGATAGCTTGCGTCTATGTGCGCGTCATCTGCGCCCATATCTTCAAACTAGTAAAGTGAAACTGAAAGTAGACCTGGATTTTTTTTATTTGAATAAAAATAGGTGTAAGTGGCATTTAGCATTGGAAAGTTGTATAAATTTCCTGATAAGTGTAAATATCTGATATAATCAATAATAAATAAGATTTAGTTTTTTGGACAAAAATTTTCAACTGCTTTTGCTTTTACTTAACCGTTTTATTGCCTGGGTATTTTTGAGTTTGAGTTTTTCTTCTATAAGTTGCACATTATTTTTTACATATATTGTGAAAAAATGTATGGCACGAAAACCGGTAATCAATGCAATCTCTAATTAATCTCTTTGAAACAGTCTAATAATTTTAAGGCATATATTAATATATGTATTTATATTAATTACATTTTGCAAACAGCTCTTGCATGTGCTAAAAGCGCAATTCATTCATAAATAATAAGTTCTTACAATTTAATGCTATTTTAATATTTAATGTTAATTAATTTAATGTTATTTAATATGGTATATTTAATTTTTTAGCAAATTCTAAAGAAAACTTTCTTTGTTAAAAACTTTCTTGCTAAACTTATCTGGTACTTATCAAGTTACATCGAATGGTTTTTGAATTTTCAAAATAGGTTCAGCTGTTATTGAGAAAACGTCGACGAAAGTTTGAATTTTGACTGACTCACATCCATCTTCTTCTGTCCATTCTATTTTCAAATTTTGATTTCAAACAATTCAGAATGACTTAAAATGTCGAAAAAACATAAAATTAGCAAATCAGTTATTTTGGTAAAAACAAACTCGACAAAGTAAAGATAAAATATTATCAAATAAAGTGCACTTATTACAAAAATTATATATAGTTACATCCAACGGTTATTGAATTTTCAAAACCATTTCAGCTATTACTAAAAAAACGTCGATGAAAAGTTAAACTTTGACTGGCTGACATGCACACTTTTGTTTTTAATCAAATGATTCAAAATGACTTGAATCTTGAATGATTCAAGTCTATGCTTGTAATCTTAGAGAGTTATGTCCGAAAAAGTGTTCATATTATGATTATTTTGAAAAAAAAAAATTGAATTTGCAAACAATTTTTTTTAAATTGTTTCAATAAAGTTCATTTTTTTCAATTATTTCATGATTCTGAAAAATCTAATCTTTTCAAAGTTTTCAAAAATATTAAAGCTTTTAAAAGTTTGGAATTACGGTACGAGAAGTTACATCAACTTGCCGTAAGGCACGATATCATGCACTAGTTTTTCCAGATTCGTTGCGGCCCAGTGCCTTGTACTTTCCTAAATTTTGGCCCAAAGAGTAATTTAGGTTGGACATCGCTGATCTACGCCCTTATTTATCTATGATTGTAGTAAGTTGGCAATGGTAACATTAGAGCGGGTCAAAGTAACAAAGTTCGCTAACTGTCAAAGAAAATGTACTGAACAAACATTTTATATTTCGTTTATTTAATTGTTAATTGAAAGTCATACTAAATTTATTATATATACATTTAAGTACAAATGTAATAATATATATTATAAAGCAATATTTGTGATTGATTGATAAACATAAAGGTAGTGTAAAATACTTTGAGGTTCTTCCACGTGATTAACTCTTAGTTATATTTATTTTATTTAGAAAGAACTATAAATATTTAACTTCCAATAATGCAAAAACTAATTATTGCTTAATTTTACCCTTCACATTTTAGCTCTGCAATAAGGCAAAAGCTTTGAATAGTTGATTCTATTCACTGTTTGTCAAGTACAAAGTATTTTGAAGAAGAAATTATCTTGAGTTGTCGAAAAAACATACATTGTCCAAAATAGACTTCTGTTAAATTAATGTAAGACTATATTCGTTGAAAAAACCATAATATGAATATTATATATTCTCATAACCATTTCTGTTGACAGTTGAGAATGATTACCCACTAAGCCAAAATCAATATATTAATTTAAACATACACTCCTGTAAAATATTACGAGAGCATAAATGCAATTGACTTTCTAAAATCATACTCCATGCTCCAACTGTCATCAACTAATGTCTTCATTTGTATTTATAATGAAATGAATTATCATATTTAACAATTCATTTAAACTAACCAACTGTTTTTGTTTATGCTTATAGAACATACTCAATGCACAAATATCTCAAAATGTCAGAAGCTGCTAATAAGCCAATAATTAAAATTGAACCACAAGAATATCCAATTAAACAGGAGATTGAGGAAGACATAAAACAGGAAATTGAGGAAGACCCTGAATCGTGTTCAGAGGATGACAAAACATGTTTAAAAAGATTTATGAACTCTATAGTAAAAATAGAAGAAGAAGTCAAAAAGGGATTAATTCAGACTGCTCCTTATAAATGTGACAAGTGTCATAGAACATTTAGAAAGTTGCATTATTTAGAACAGCATATGTTAAATTATTGTCATAAGGATCCATATTGTTCAAAGTCTTTTTCAGATGCAAGTGCATTAGAAATACATATAAAATCTCATACAGGTGAAAAACATTTCACATGTACAAAGTGCAGTAAAGCATTTACTGAAAAACATCATTTAGATCAACACATTTGTGCTCGTGCCAGAGAAATTTCACATTTGAATGAAACTGGTAATCGAAAACGAAATATTCGCACTCATACTGCTAAGGGACCAGGTGAACGTCCCCATATTTGCAAAATATGTAAAAAGACATTCACACAATTGTCTGACCTGAATAAACATATGCTCATCCACACTGGTGAACGCCCCCATATTTGCAAAATATGTGAAAAGACATTCACACAATTGGCTTCCTTGAATAGACATATGTCCATCCACACTGGAGAACGCCCTTATATTTGCCAAATTTGTGATAAGGCATTCTCACAATCGAGTAACTTGAATAATCATATGCTCATTCACACTGGTGAACGTCCTCATATTTGCCAAATTTGTGATAAGACATTCACACAATTGAGTAACTTGAATAAACATATGTTAATTCACACTGGGGTTCGTCCTAATAAATGTAAAACATGTGGTAAGACATTCACACTATTGACTAACTTGAATAAACATATGCTAATTCACACTGGGGTACGTCCTAATAAATGCAAAATATGTGGTAAGACATTTACAGAATCAAGTAACTTGAAAAGACACATGCTCATCCACACTGGTGAACGTCCCCATATTTGCCAAATATGTGATAAGACATTTACAGAAGCAAGTAACTTGAATAAACATATGCTCATTCACACCAGAGAATGCCCCTACAAATGCAAAATCTGCGATAAAGCATTCAAACAATCAAAATCCCTAAAAAGGCACATGGTTGCTCATACCAATGAGTAATTAGTATTTAGAAAATTAGTCAAAAGGTTACTTATTACTGCTTATAGAAATTAATGATAATTAAATATATGAATTAATTATTATATATAATATCAAATAAATAAACATTGTTATCAATGACTCGTGTGAATATTTTATTAATAATGTTCTATATTCATTCCAGGCTTAATAAGGCTTGCAATTGAGCCATAATTGTTAGGAGAATCTTCTCAAAAGGTTACTTTTTAACTTTTTGTAGGGTTAGTTGTTGTAATCGTCCAAAAATCTAAATTGAAATTTTTTGCATATCTTGGCCAGAGGAAGCGTTTTGATGGTTTCTGAAAACTTTGGCATGCCTTTTGAAAAAATGTATTTTTTTGTGTGTGTGTGTTTTTTTTTCTTTTTTTTTTTTTTGTATAGCGAAGGGAATGCATTTATGCATCCCAGACTGGTATTTTGTCTAGGTATGTCAGACTCAACACGGCCTGGGTATAATAATACTGACTAAAACCTCCACTTTGCCCTCACCTCTGTCCCCCACGAAAACCGCCGTTAGGCATTGTGCGTATGTATGTATGTGTGGATGCAATTTTTCTCCAACTTTTTGGGCGCACGGTCCAATCGATTTGAATGGTTCAAAAAACATTCGATTCCTACTGGTAGGGAGATGCAGAAAATAGAAATTGAGTTTTTGAGAGAACGGAGCATCCGATTTGAATGATCCAAAAAACATTTAATGATGGAGAGTTGGAAGTGGTGATTAGATTTTGGCAAAGGTAGAACCAGTTGATTCGGAGATACCGAGCTAAACGTGCAAAAAAATGGCAGTTTTTGAGAGAACTAAGCTTCCGATTTGAATGATTCAAATAACTTTCTGCTTGTATTGATGAAATGATTGTTTTTGAGAAAATAAAATAAAGTTTATTTCATTTTGTTTTAATTTTTCTTATTATTCTATTATTTATGCTCTAGGGTGTCGGAGTACTTTCTAAAAGCAAATTTCCAAAAATCAACCATTTTTATAATTGAACCAGTTTCCGATGTGAACTTACTATAATGACTCGGATTTCGAGATACCCAGCGGCAAGTCTGTAAATACTTGTATATTGACACCCTAAAAGTTGTCTCAAAACCTACATATGGTTGGAAGTACACAACATAAGTAGGCTTTGAGACAGCTTTTATGGTGTCAATATACAAGTATTTACAGACTTGCAGCTGGGTATCTCGAATTCCGAGATTCTTACCTTATTTAAGCTTAAATGAGTGGACTGTATATATTTTTTTGTGAAAACACGTTTATGGTTTAAGTTAAAATATATTTTATATGCGTATATTTTTCTCTCATTTCATTTATTCAAATTAATCGGGTATATCTTCTATCTCTGGATTATTCAGAAAATCTTTTTTTTTCACATGGGAAGTTATACGTTGCCTGTTCACGAGTTGAAAAACCATCCGCTTTGTTTGTGTTAACGTCAGGCCAAAAAACAAAAAATGTGGTTTACCAAAGAGCACTTCAATGAAACGGATAATTTGCGGATTCACTTTCATTTACTTAGAGAGAAGTTCAACTTAAAAACACTTCATTTTTGTGATCGAAATAAATTCATTACTGTTGTATAATAAAATCAAATTTTTCCTGTTCAAATATAAAACAAACAAAAAAATTTCTTCATCTTTCTCACGAAATCATCTGGTGGCGAAACGGAGTTCGTCGGGTTTGCTAGTATTTGTATAAATCTTATCTAGAATTATACCCAGGGGTAAATTTACGTGCTACAGTAGGTGGCGCCTCTATAGGGTGCGGAAACAATTAAAAATGAGGTAATGTCAAAGTAACCTGGTTTGCGATTTTTTTTTACACTTCATTTATCAATGTCAGTAATAGATAAAAAATTATCTTGTAACAATTTCATTTGATAGATAATGGACAACCACTGGGTTTCATTTTAAACGAATTACTTTCAAAATAATTAATGCACTGTTCAAAAAATCACTAATTAAAAGAGTAAACAAAATCCTTTCTTAAAGTAATAAATTATCGTTAACTTTATTTTATTTAGCTCTAGTATTACATGGTAGTACAATTCAAAAACAATCATCAGACTTAATCCATTTTTAACAAAAAAAAAGAAAAACAGATCACTAGAGTACTATAAGGCATTTAGTACAAAAAAATGCCATTGACATTTTTTTTCATTTGTATCATTTACTACTTACTATAATATATATACATAAATATCTATTAAACAGAAGCTCGAAGTCGATGTTATCACAATTATCACAAAAAATAAGTGTCAGCTTTACAATATATCGACTTAAAATCTAGTATTATTTCACTCGATTAAACAATTAGAAATCATAGAATTAAAATAAAGCTGCCGAAGAAAAAAACTATAATAGAAAATAGTTATGACAATCTTAATTCTAATTTTTAGTTTTGGGGATAAAATATTTACAATTCGTAGTCGTAGGATAGTAAAATAAAATTTCATTTAAACATAATAATGGGGGATTTCCATTAATCACGTGAAGCTTAAAAGGGTGGACAGGGCTTGACAAAGAATCACGGGAGGGGAAGGGAAGCAAGATATTACAGGTATTTATTTTTTATATATATTTAAAAAAAATGTCTAAAATTTAAAAAATAAATTCGAGAGATCTAAGGGGGCGTCCACAAATTTGTGATCGACTTTTTAAAGATTTGTAGACTCCCTCCCCATAGGTGATACAAGGCGATAATCAAAAATAAACCCCCCCCCTCCACCAACTTTACGTGTATTTTTAGTTACGAGAAAAATTAGTAAAATGTTTGATTGTTTTTTTAAAATGTTTGATTTTTTTTTCATAAAAAACATGTAAAATATAAATACACGTGATATCTTACTATACCCTTCCCTCCCCCATGTGATATTTCGTGTTTTTTTGTCAAACCCCCTCCCCCTAAAAGCCTCAAGTCATTAATGGACTCCCCCCAACATACGATATTGACTGGGTAAAGAGGTTTATTTTAGGGGGCCCAGTAAGATATTACGCATACTTATTTTTTATCTAAATTTTTAAAAAATTCGAAATTTTTTCAAAAAAATCCGAAGTCTCCCCTGTAAAAAATCCAAATTCAAAATGTGATGTTGACTAGGAAAAGGGGGTGATTTTAATGCGCTTAGTAAGATAATACGTGTACTTAGTTTTTATCTAAATTTTTAAAAAACTCAATTTTAAAAAAAAAAATTCAAAGTCCCCCTCCCATCCAAAGACAACATGTGATATTGACTGCGGGAAAGAGGGTCATTTTAAGAGGTCTAGTAAGATGTTACAGGTACTTATTTCTTATCTATTTTTTTACAAGTTCGAAATTTTTCAAAAAAAATCCTAGGTCCCTCCTGTAAAAAATTCCAAAGACAACATGTGATGTTGATTAGGAGAAAGGCGGTTGTTTTAGGGAGTCTAGTAAGATATCACGTGTACTTATTTTTTTTATCTAAATTTTTCAAAAAAATACAAAGTCCCCCTTTGAAAAAATCCAAAGTCAACATATGAAGATATAAGTATTACGGGTACTTATTCATTTTCTAAATTTTTGAAAAATTCAAAATTTTTCAAAAGAATCCAAAGTCCCCCCTGTGAAACAATCCAAAGTCAACATGTAATGTTCACTAGGGGAAGGAGGTCATTTTAGGGGTCTAGTAATATATTACAGCTACTTATTTTTTATCTGAACTTTTAAAAAATTCGAAATTTTAAAAAAAAAAAATTCAAAGATCCAACATGTGATGTTGACTGGGTTAAAGGTGGTCATTTGAAAAATCACCAAGCTTTCCAAAGATGCCATTTTAAAAATTACCTAAATTTCAACGTGACTGGGGTAAATAGGGTCATTTTTAAAATCACCAAAAGGGAGTCATTTTAAAAATCACCAAAGTTTCAACATGTGACTGAGGTAAAATGGATCATTTTAAAAATCACCAAAGTTTCCAAGAGGGTCATTTTAAAAATCACCAAAAGGGGTCATTTTAAAAATCACCAAACTTTCCAAGGTCATTTTAAAAATCACCAAAGTTTCATCAAGTGATGTTCACTGGGGTAAAGAGGGTCATTTTAAAAATCAACAAAGTTTCTAAGTTGATCGTTGACCCCAGTCAACATCACATGTTGGATCTTTAGATTTTTTTGAAAAATTTTGATTTTTTTGGGGGAGATATTTTTAATTTTGGGTAAAGAGGGGCTTATTTAAAAAATCACCAAAATTTCAACATGTATATATTTTATCATATATCATAATCATTAAAAAGCTAATAAAATTATCTAGAATTCGGTATTTAATAATGTATCTCAATTAGAACAAAATTATTAAGAACAACAAAATTAAGCCATTAATCGACATATGGATAAAAAGATTTTAAAGAAGCCTGTTGACTTTT